ACTTGCTTTTCCGCCTATGGTTTTCCATTTCAAAGCCCTATGTCTCCATGTAAATGCCAAAACACAGTAATCCAATCTGACCCCACTGCAAATTTTCCAGAAACTATTGGGGGCCAGTGGGGTTGACATGAGCCACACACTTATCCCACTTAACCTCCAGAGAAAAGCCGCCCCAACTCCTTTGCCTAAGATGCTCTTGGTGGAGGAATGCACTGTTTTATACCACTCTCCACTGAAAAGCACTGAGCCTTGAGGTTGGACTCGATGGCAAAACCTTGTAACTTCATAAGACTGTAAAGTCAAAGCAGCTCAATGCTGAGGCTGATGGAGGAGAAGCTAAATGTACAGCAGATACCCACATTAGGGCATCTCCCTGCCCACTCCCTGCACAAACTTAAATACTTTTTGATTCAAAACCAAAATGGCCCCTTTCTGATGCATCTCATGAACATAGCAGAAACATATTTATACTGTGCTAACTTGATGACAAACAACCTGAGGATTTTTCTGTTTCCCATTTGCTATTGTTTGCTTTTTAGCACGCAAAAGCCGTTCCAGTAAGATTTTCAGTGCACACAATTTGAGGAAGATGCTTATCGAGTGGTGGCACATGAGGGAAGATAGAGATTTTTTGACACATGGTCCACATCTGAAGCATTTAAGCCTAGCGGTTGTTTATGATTTTTGAGCAGGCAAATCTCTTGCATTATGCTCTACAGGTGACACATGCCACTGGACTGGTTTGTTCTAAAGGTGCTGTGCGTTATGTACCTTCAAAAGGCAGCTGTTCACTCTATTGTATAACAGGTGATAATTAGCATGTCTTATTTTACATGAATAGGAACCATTAAACAGGCACTTAGTTGGCTTTTGGCCAGACTTACAAACTTACTTATAAACAACAATTTGTGATTTCTGAATATGAATTTATAAAACATCTAAATCCATTTAATCTGGATGTTCAAAATGTGCAGATGCTTCAATTGTTCAGTCACATTTTAAGTCACTGTTCATGTCTAATTCATGATCAGGTTTCATTGTGAAGCTACAAAATAGCTTATGAACACACAACTGTGACACCGATCTCCAGTTTATGAATCAGTCCGCTGGCTCTTCAAACTTTGTGGCAGGCCTTTGTTGTTTATAGAGATTAAGATCAGGGTGTTTGCCATATTTAAATAATAGATCAAAGCTAAACATGCCAGTTTTGACATTTGAGTCGGCTCCTCCTTGATTATGTGGTAGTAAGTTAAAAGTTATGAGCCTGCGTCACTGTGGATGAACAACCTCAACCAAGGGAGCAAATGTCTCCCAGGACATGTCCATTTACCTTGTCAATCTGTAGTCAATGCACTGTCATCAGTAAGCACATCCCCTAATTAGCTAAAATTGTTTTTCATCAATACCCATAACTGACCCCTGCAGGAATTGATGAGAGCAAGGGTTGACTTGACTAAAAATGGCTGACAGGGTCAATTCATCAACAGGTAAAGCATTTATCATTCCTCCAGCCAATCGACTTAAACGTGTGTGATCCTGGAAAGTGCATTTTACAATCTGGACAATTTTGGGGCAATGTAACCTCAGGGGATCCATTTTAGCCCCACCTAAACCTTTGAGGTAAATGGTTTGCATTTAGAAAGTCATTACTGTACATGGTCAACTGAACATATCCCCCTCCACTTTCTGTTGGGATGCCCATAATGACGTTTGGGGTCATTATAGTAGTTGAATATACTAATCAAATGATGCTTCCTTCCTCTATCATGTCACATTAGGGCTGATGACTCTCCAGACAATCTCCTCCAATCAGGAGTGGTGCCACAAAGTCTGTCCTTGCTTATCATTAACAATCTGCAAATAAACAGGACTGCATACATTACATCACTTGCAGCTCCATGATCAATTCCAGGAATGTCTTTGAAGCTTTGCTTAATGAACCTACACGGTACAGCTGTTTTGTGTAGTGTGAGCATCGAGGCTTCATAACCCATGACCTTAACAGTTTTTCTGCACTGATAATACTGGAAGGTTAGCAAAAGGGACAAGTAGTAATAAGATTATTCAATAACAAGACAGCAGCAGTTGAAACTAATGTCACTGCCGAATCACAAAGAACTGCTTTTCTACTTTCTAATATTATAAAGCATATTTTTCAAGGATAACTGTGCAATCGGTGTGGACTGTGCTGCATAATGCTTTTACATATCAGGGAATTTTATCTCCTGTACCATCAGAAAGCACCCACCAACAAGGAGTAAGGAGAGCCTGTCTAGTCAAATATACCGATTTGATTTTGTTATGCGTGATGTCTGTGGATGTATAAAAGAGAAATGCTGACAAAGTTGGCTTCATCAATCAGTAGCGACAACTCAGACCTTTTAATAGCCTCTCTGAGTCCTTGCAAGCCCCAACTCTGTAAAAGTTATATAGCATATGGACCGTTCTCTGCTTGCTTAGGTAAGGTAAGACAGCTCAGCCACATAGACTAAAATGCTGCCTTCAAGTCAACACTGCCTCCTATTTGATGACACCTTCCACTAAATTGAAATGTGCTGCTAATGAGGATGAGTGTTTAAAGAAGAATAAGCTGTAGTAATTGACAGAGACCTGACCTCAGTCCCACAAAGAGAAGGATGGAAGGCCTCATGTGGGCTGGTGGAAAGCAGCAGCTCGATCGTTGGGCTCATACATGCAGAAGGTTTAGCTACTGGCTTTAGCTACTAGGGGCCTTGTAAGATTTACAGTCAGTCAGATGCTGCTGTGGCTTTTCAACAGCTATCACATTTGTTTTCTCCAGCAAATCGATAAAATGCAACACACATGCCAAATATACTTATGTATCTCTCCTGGGGAACACACTCTACATGCATGCAGACCACTCCACTTTACACACACATGTGGACATAAACACACACAAATGTTAGAGACCAGACCCTTAACAGACCAAACAATAATAGACAGGGCTTCCATTAACAAACAGTAACTAACAAGTACATCGCACCTTCTTACGTTTCAAACAAGCAATCAAATGAAAAGATGAATTTAATTTGAGCACTCTGCAGATGACTTCATCTTGGAGTGCAAACTTCTGAATAGAGCCTGTTGCCTTAATTCAGTGTTGCTTATTGCTTCCTTTATGAGAATTCCCTCTGGATGGTCCCACTCGAGGACTCTGAGATCCACCTCCGCCGTGGTCCTGTCTGGGTCCACGGAGACAGACAATTGACTGAGAATTGATGGTCAATGTTTATCCAAGGTGGCTGACTGGTCACGGCTCTGTAGTTTACTTGTGAATTTGTGGTCAAACAGCATTTTAAAGAGCACTAGCGTGGCTTTGTCTAGTGTGCACATCTTTTTGGATGCTTTGCATTGAAGCAGTTAATTGCGACCAAGTAAAAAAATCCATAGCCGGCGCTTTATTCCTATTCACGGCTCAACCCTAAGAATTATACGACTGGTCGATGCCCAGACCTATAGTTCAGTGTTAAAATGGGTAAGAAAACGGTGCGACAACTGTAGTCTACTGTACAAAACCAAATACATTTAAAATATTAGCCCTGTATTATTTTTAAAAAACGCCTACTTGGTGCAGTTTATGCATTTTGTAAACTAGACTAAAGTTGAATTGCTGCTCAGAAACAGCTGTGCCTGAAAAACGTGCTATATTTAACAACTGGACCGACTGGTACGATTTAATAACAGACGTTTTATTAGAAGAATTGATATCACAAAGGCAAAAGTGAACATCCTCACAGACTGTTTGTGTGCAGACTTGTGATAGATACGATTTTAATTCGGATCATCACACACACTACATATATACACCCACACACAAAGCTGAAGACATTTGTCCATTGTCCAAGAGGTTTCATTAGCTCTTCATGTTTTATCAGTATAAGATGCAAAATCCATTTCCACACACAGTAGGCTATTCACAACAAACTTCACACACACACACACACACACACAGGCTCACATCCAAATGCAGACTGCAGAGAAAAAGTGGGAATGATAAGCCAAGCTATGTTTAAATATCCAAGATGACAATATGAAAAAGACAAACCATACACCGAGTAAATACAGTAAACCGATAGGCCTGTAAGTGTAGTAAATCGTTGTTGAGGATTTCAGAGGCGTCATAACATGCCTATTAACATTATCGAGCGCCTCATCCCGTCACCCGCTCATATTTTCCTGCGCTATGATTTCAAAGGAGGTTGTTACAGGAAATGTTGGCTGCTCGGCTGCTTTCCGGCGCCGTTTAACCTGCACATTCAACTTAATGCTGTTAAATATATAGCCTGTATTATGAATAAATGACATTATATTCGAAGCATAACTGCAATTGTGCTCTGGGACAAAGGGGGAAGTGAACAGCCCAGCGGATCACAACACCTCGCCGATAAAGCGAGCCTGTTTCCCGGCTTGGCTCGTCTGCTCTCCCAGCCTCGCTGGGTCTCACACAGCGACCGATAGCGCAGCTTCCATAACGATGTTGACATATTCACACAACACTGACTAAGGCAGGGTGGTGTTTCACGGCAAAGCCCTTTTGAGTTTCCAAACACCTTTTTATAAGTCTGAAGTCTGTCCCCTCTACCCGACCTGTTACAACCACGCCTACGCAGCCACACAATTGGTCCGAAAGCGTCAAAGAGCCAATCAAACGGAGCGCTGCTCCACGTAACATGCAACACATCCACACAGTATGAAGCCCAATGGGCCACAGAGGCGCTAGGAAAATCACTGAGCTGGGACCTTACCACCTCTCTCTCTCTCTCTCTCTCTCTAGCGGGCTCCCTTCTCTGCACACGTCTTTCTCTGAAATGTGCGTGTGCGTGAAAGAGAGAAGAGGAATAAAGTGTGTGCGTGTGATGGTGCGTCTCCGGAGCAAGTAAAGGCAGAGGGATTATTCGGCGCTATCGAAATATTTCAACACGTCGCCCTCACTGCAGGACTGAAGCC